GATGGCCCAAGAAACCAAGTTGTGCATTTTAATGTCAAATATAATGCACACAAACACATAATGAACTCAACCTCTATCATACTTAATTCAAGAGGCAAAACATGCATGCCAATGGAATGCAACCTAGGCATGTGAGCTAAGTGTGCAACATGATCATGCAAACAACAAAACCATGTGCAATAGGCACATGAACTAAACAAGTAAGCATGAAAGGCATATAACATCAATGTTAATGACACACATGCAACAACATGAAAGGCATAACACATATAAATATGCAAAGCGACTTAACACAAGAAGCATGCCAAATACAATGACACTTAAACATGCAACATGTTAATAGGCTAAGTACCTAAAAATACAAACATGTATAGCATGCAACAACATGCCAAAGGGATGGTCTTAAACTAATTTGGACAGCCCTCTACTAGGTCCAAAACAATGGCCAACATGCTCAAGAATGGAATCCAAAACACATACAAATAGGCATGCATGCAAGGTCCAACACTTAGGCACATATAGACAACTTTTAAGCACACTTAAAAGAGGAACAACATGGGCATATGGCATGCAATGTAAGCTCTGAAAATCATGTTAATGATGGTGCCGAAACAAGCAAACAAGACAAGCATAGCATACAACAAATGATCTAAAGCCTAAGGCTCACCAAAGAAGCATTGAACTACACTTAGTGCAACCACACATGGCATGAATTAAATGACTGAAAACAAAGATGTGACATGCTAAAATGAGCCTCAAAACCCACCTAAATGGCATCTAAATGGCTTAAGTATGGAAGCATGCACAAGGGCCCAAACAAGGAGCATAAGACAATAACCTTTTAACACATTAAAGGGATATAAAATGCAAGCATATAGGCATGCCACAAGGACAGCAATAACATGACAAGTGGTTCCAAACCACTGAAATGATGCAAGGATGGCATGCTAGAGGGGTCAATGCTCAAGGCATACAAGAGAGTTTGCATGGTAGCTATACAAAGAAAAGAATGAATGACTCAAATGACCAAAAACAGTCCCTTAACATACTAAAACAAGTATAAAAGTTTCACAAAGCTAGGCCAAAACACATGAGCATGGTAGTCTAAATGCTAAGCACATGTTAAGGCAAATCATGGCATTACAAGACATGTATACAAGCTAAGCATGGTGTGTCTAAACCAAGTAAAACAGTGCTATATCATGGAAAAATAGGCACAAATAGCACTTAAGACATGGCCAACATGAACTTGAAAATGGTGCTCACACATGAGGCTAAAGTGACACTTTTTGAAGACAACAAGGAGAGGGGGTGGCCCTCTCCTTCTTAGGACCTTAAGACACCATCTTCACCATTGAAATCCCTCAAGATTTCAGTGGTGAGGAGGCCCAAACAAGGTGGTCCCGAAGCTCACCAAAAATAGCACAAAATGGGGCCAAACAAGGCATAAGAGGGGGTAAACGACCCCAAACACAAAAGCGATCTTAAACAAACTTCAAAAGGAGCTTAAAATAAGAATTTTTTCAGTTTATAACAAAGCCCAAATATGCTTGAAAGTAAGGCTAAAAGTGTGTGCAAAAATGGAGAATAAAGAGGGAAAATGAGTTACCTTTGTAGCCAAAAGAGGACAGCAGCCTCTTGGTCCAAAAAAATAGTCCTTTAGCCTCTGAAAATGGCCTCCAAGCTCCTTAGGTTGATGATGGAGGTGTTGTGCTAGGAGGTGTAGTTCAAATGGCCAAGAACTAGACCCTTTTGCACCCTCTAACCCACACAAATGTAGAGAGATAGAGAGATATAGAGAGAGAGAGTGATATATATATCATATGTATCAGATTTTCTAACCCTTGAAATGGGAGGAGAGGCCCTGTATTTATAGAGAAGATGAAGGCTTGAGCTTCTAAGGGAAACTAAGCAAAAGGGTCAAGGGGGTCAAGCTTATCTTAGAAGCTTGGAGTACAAGGGCCAAGCTTCTTGAAGAAGCTAGGCAAAGGGGTCAAGCTTCTCTTAGAAGCTTGAGGAAAAGGTGCAAAAGGTGCTAGCTTATCTTGGAATCTTAGAAGGGTTCAAGCTTCTTGGAGAAGCTTGGAGCAAAGGGTTCAAGCTTCTTGGAGAAGCTAGAATAAAGGTTCAAAAGGTTCAAGCTTTCCCAAGAAGCTAAAACCAAGGGTCCAAAATGTTCAAGCTTCCTCAAGAAGCTAGAACCAATGGTTCAAAAGGTTCAAGCTTCTTCAAGAAGCTAAAACCATGGGTTCAAAGGGTTCAAGCTTCCTCAAGAAGCTAAAATAGGGGTTCAAAAGGTTCAAACCCTCTCAAGAAAAGGGCTCGGCCAGAAAAAGTGGCCGATTGACCAAAATAAGTGACCGGCCGACCAAACAGAGTGCCGACCGGCCAAACATTTGGCCGATGGCAACAAAACACAGCCGGTGGCCTCAAGACATGCCCGGTGATGTGTGGGGATGGTTATCAAGCCACTTCCTGCCCCTCAAAGGCAAAACACAAGTGTTTGGTGCAAAACCAAACACAAGTGTTTGGTGCAAAACCAAACACAAAACAGTCGAGTCGAGAGATCTTGAGATAAGGCGCATAGCCAAGACCTCCGGGAACTCAAGACGAACACAAACAAGGATGATCACCGAGTGTTCAAACAGTGACGCCCAAGTCTTGAGGACGGTCAAAAATGGGGTGTCTACAGACTGTACCATAGGGTTAAAAAGAAAAAGAAAAAGAAAAAGAAAAAGAAAAAGAAAAAGTTTAAAACGTGTTTGCAAATCACGTTTTCATAAGCATGTTTCCAAAACACGTTTTCATAAGCGTGTTTGTCAACCATGTTTTATTAATTGATGCGATAATTAGTGAAATCTTAATTAAAAGCGCGTTTTTTAAGCACGTTTTCATGATTTTGTTTATTTTGTCTATCTAGACTACAAAAATGCTAAAAGCGTGTTCACAAAACACGCTTCAGGTTAGTTCAAAAAATTCGGCCAAACTAGGCTTAATTTGAGAAATAAATTAGTATAGGGGCTTTGTTTGGGAAAAGCCCCTTGTCCATCTCTCTTCTCCAATAATTGTGTGTGTTTGGGTTAGACTTCGTACGATCTGGGTTCGTTTGAATCCATCAAGGGCAAACGAGGGAGGAGTTAGTTCGTTCCATCAAGGTTTGCTTGAATCTTCATCATCTGGGTTCATCTCTTTCATCTCAAAAGTTTAACAAAATCACAATGTAATGAAGATGAAGAGGACATAATTGATTGAAGAATCTGAAAAAATTTCTGTGAAATTACATCTGAGTTCATCTTCATCATCTGGGTTCATCTATTTCATCTTTTTTTATCCAAGTATTCATTTTTGTGAAATTATATTTCTGAAATTGCTTGAAATTAGTTAAGATTCCTTTTGCTTTGCTTGAGATTGCTTGAAATTTGTGAGAAATTGCTTGAATTTTCTCTGAAATTGTTTGATAGTGATTGTTGTTGTTATTATCTTTAAATTTGTTATATATATATATATATTGGGGATTTTGCTTCTCCATCTCTAAAAATCTAGAAAATAGTATTTTTTTTTAATGATTGTATTGTTGGTGGATTTTTTCCACTATGTTTGAACAAAGGGCATTTTCGTCATCTTGCATGTAAGAGCAAGGGTAATATAATTATTTTGTATAGGTTACTAACGTCTTTTGTGCAAAATTGACGAAATGTTTGGGGTGGCTCTATTTACACACCACCTTTTCTCTCAAGGCAAATCATTAATTAATTTTTTTTATTACAATTTTAACCTTAAGTGAAATGATTATAGAGGACAGGTTATGTTACACACCATTTGTGTATTTACCATAAAGGACAAGAATGAATATAATATAAATCATCAATTTCAAACTTGTTCCTTATGTATCTTTTTTGTCAAGAATACAAAAACCCTAAAATCAAAACCAAAAACTCTTTAACAAATAATCAAAAATATAGTATTATTGAAGATTTTGAATGGATTCAATGAAGGATGCATCTGGCAACTTTGATTCGCAACAATGGGGCAAGGAAGAGGTTATTTTTTTGTTGTTTTTGTTTTCGTTTTCGTTACTTGTTGAGTGGTAAATAGTTGGTACAGTTCAGGTAACCAGAGGTGGATATTATATCATTGTTCAACATACTACGGTCGAACAAAATGCCTTTGTTCAACATACTACGGTCAAACAAAATGGCTTTGTTCAACATACTACCGTCGAACAACATGTCTTTGTTCAACATATTATGGTCGAACAAAATGCCTTTGTTCAACATACTACGGTCGAACAACGTGTTCAACATACTACAGTTGAACTTTATTCGTATATTCAGTTAACAAAAATTGAGCAATTTCATTTAATTCGACTCTGTACTGCCGAACATTTACAATTTATTTTTTTGTTATTTTTTTTTTTTTCCAGAACGGAGCATCCGTGGAATGCAGTAATGTTGTGTTTTCAGCAATGGAGATAAGTGCATAAAACCCTAAAATAAATAATAACTCACCTACTAAATCTCCAATGTGAAGTTCCAGCTGTGTTGAGTAACACCACAGACGACGTGTGTTTTCAGCAATGGTGTTCACCAATTTGAATAGAGAATGGAGGGGGAGATGAATATCGTGGGTATGGGGTGTGTGGCTGTGTGGGGGCAAAGATGAAACTTTGTGTGTATATTGTTTGGGGTTGGTGTGTGAGTATAGATAAATATATAAATTTATAGTGCGTGATGAGAATAATATTTAATTTTTAAATTATTTTTGATGTGTGTCTAGAAATGATTTGTCTTGAAACAACTTACGGAGTGTATATAGAGCCTCCCAAATGTTTGTGCAAAATTAGGGAGTGTCTTATATGGGTCAGAAATCTTAAAGACGTAATTTACTCTATTTCAAAAGAGCAGAAGAAAAAAAAAAAAATTAATTACTTTACCTATGAAAACATGAAAAATAATTACCAGATGTGAATTTATATATATTTTTATTTTTTTGAAAATATAAAAAATAACCTTTAGCATAGCGCCACCATCTTCCTTGAACTAACCTACTCCGGGCCACCCTCCCCTGCCGCTGCCAGCCCCCTACCCGACCACCCCACGCCGCCGTCTGCAACCCATCCATCCCCAAGAGAGGTAGTTTGATTCTGTCTGATTTTGATGACCTCAAAATCATCAAAATCCAATTTTTTGACTCTAGGCAAGATTGGTACTTGGCGATAGTGCTGCAAAAGTGCGTTTTCAGTACAGAACAGAGAATCAAGATAGCATCACTGCAATCAGGTGTGCATATTTGGAACTCCAATATGCTATATTGGAATTGTTCGACAATGAGTTTTAATTTTAGTTAAATTTTGATTTTAAGATTTTTGTGTAATTGAATGGTATGGTATCCCATCTTGGCTTTACCTGTTAACATAAAGATATGAACTTGTGTATATGTGTTGGAGCTTTGATATTTTGTTTGGATTAAACACTAAAACTCAAAACTTGAAGAGGATTTATTTATCTGAGACATTACTAGATGACTCACTGTTTAAGGTGATTGGGACTTTGTTCAGAGAAGGCCTATCAAATTAGTATTAGTCAACAACTTAGATGTTTGGGACTTTGTGCAATTATCATTTTCATAGTTTTTTCTACGTTTTTGGTTGACTTGGTTTGTATGAAATGTTGTGAAAATGTTCAGCAATATATTTTTTTTTGTGAGTTTCAATAGGAAGTTTTTTGTTATTGTGGCCTGTATGAACTAAAGGGTTCACTTTACTGAGTCTAATTCAGCAATTAGAGGTTGCCAAGGTGAGCTATTCAATGTTACAATTCAATAACTTCACTAGATCGAAGGAAATCTTATACTATGATTCTCTGTCCTTGAGAACCAAAGTCTTCGTGATCTTGAACTGTGGGACTAAGAAGCAAGGACAAGGACATGCAACACGATGTAGATACGACACATACATGCTGACATGACAATTTAAAAAAAAAATGCAAGATACGACATGTGGGGGACATGGACTTAGACAGCCTAGAACTGCTACTGGGCAATTGGCTATTAGATGCTACTTCCTCAGCTCCCTTTTCATTTGGGGTGCTACAGTAGGTGCTTATTTTTGTTAGATATATAAATGTTATGGCCTTTGAAAGAAAATTATATAGTTTCTTTGAAGTCATGCTTACACTTGTTCTTTTCCAAAAGTCTCTGAACATTACTAATGAACTTGTATTTTGTTGCCCATGTTTCAGGTTATGGGATTTGAATCTTCCATTTATTGTTGATAAGTTATTTGACAAATATTAGTGGGATGGAGGTTGAGGAATGGGCAAGTTCTTCAGGTGGAACAAGTGATTCTGAGGTCTGTGTGCCGGACACGAATGATGAAGAACATTACTTTACATCTGGTGATACACCCAAGTTGCAGTTTAGGTAGAACTTTTGATGAAAGACTGTTATAAATTCTTTAGATCATTGTGTTTTAACAATTAATTGTGTATTTTTCCATTAGGAAAAATATTTCAAGGGCCCATTGGGATGATGAGATGGGAATGGCTGAGGTTGTTGGGAAGAAGGGTAGCATGTGGACAACAATAGGAATAGTTCGCAGCAGCAAGATCTATTGCTCAATTGAAGAGACTCTGTAAGTGATGTAATGATGTTCTTTGAATTTTCCACTCTTATCCTTATTGTAATGATTTGCGGAACCAGTTGAATAGTGTAGTTTATAGTTTGAACTCTGGATTATAAGTTAGTAGACACCCATTTTTGTTGTATTGCTCCTATGTTATCACATAAAAGTTTTAAGTTTTGAATCTGTTGTATATTTAATGTGATTCGTTGACCCACAGTTTTGTTAGCTTCATCAGTGTCGCAAGGACAATGATAGTGAAATGCGTATGATATATTTGTCATCATTGTTTTCCTATATTAAAAGAAATGTAGAAGGGTCTTTGTATTTGTCAGATCTTATTATAGTATTGACATCCAAGGATCAAAATTTAATTTTGGGTACCATTTCAATTAGTTTGAAAAGCAACATTTTGGAAATGATTTGCAAACATGATGGACACAGTGAAATAAATTTAGAAATTCACGAAACAGTAGATGCTATGGTTATGTTGAACATGTATGTTCTTTCTTTCTTTATTTATTTTTGTTTTGTTGTAGGTTTTTGGCTGAAAGAGGTGAACTAAGTCTCTTAGATGCTGATGATAGATCAGTTCCCTTAAAAGATATATATAAGAAGGTTGCAGAAGGAAAGAGCGGATGTTGTTGGGAGTCATTTGAAGTCTACAGGCACTTGAGGTCACTGGGATACATTGTTGGGCGTCATGGTATCCCTTGGACTGTGAAGAGTATTAAGAATAAGCCTCCTTCTGTTGAAGGCACACTGGAGATTGAACTGATAATAGATCAGAAATTTGAAGACCTAAATCTCGTCAACGAGCTTTTCAATAATATAAGGATTGATGAAGTCAGACCTGTATTTGATGTTTACCCTCCTAATAGCAAATTTAGAAAGTCCTCTCCTGGCAATCCAAGTTTCGTTCTCTGCATGACCAGGTAATAAATATTGTTAACTCTTATATGACCATACAATTGTGCTGTAAAATAGTGATACAAAATTGTTGGACCATATTAGCTTGAATATAATGCATTTCTCCAATGCCTTGTAGTTAAAAACATGTGACAAACATGTATTGACTTGTGAGTAATCCATGGATGCAATTAGTGAAAGGCCCTGATGCTTTTTCGGAGCTTTTCTAGTCAATTATAAATGGATTATTCACATATGTGTCTCACAGTCTTTAAATTTCCATGAGAAATTCACCTCTCGTGGACAAAGAGAATCATTTTCATTATTGTATCCACGGGAAAGATCTGGCTATAGTTCATACTCACCAAACTCTAGAAAATTGGTTTTGGTTTTGAACTATCTAAAGGACTTTTTCAAAGATCTTCTCTTGTTCACTTTCCCTGCCCTGCCCTTTCCACAAAACAAAATGTGTCATTGACAGCTCATAGAAGCATTGGCAACGGCTCAAAAATGGCCCCTTAGATCAGTTCTTGCCAAACCCTACTGGTTGAATGGTGCTGGATTGTGCTGCATGGGCATTGTATTTTATGAGGATTAGGTTTTGAGTGGTCCTTTATGTGCTTTTTTCGAAAGTAGCTTAATGCTCCTTTGGGTGGCAAGATGATGGGCAAAAAAAAATTAATAATAATAAAAATAAATAAATGAAATTGGGACTTCCCCTTATTTAATTCAGTTCTTTTTATTGTCTTGGCTATCCAGTAGACCCTAAGAATTATCAGGTAACCTTAAATTATTGCTGCAGTTACTCCAAAAAAATCATTTTTGCTGGTAAAATGTTAGTCTGGGGCAATCATTTTAGTGGTCATTAAATATGATTTTTGGCACTTGAAATGCTCCTTTTGTTTTTCCTTTGTAGACATGGATCTGCATTTCTTGTTAAATCAGACTCAAATTAATGGTGATTTTCTTTCTCATGTAGTGGGCATCCGCCATCCAAGCCAGAGATTGAAGACCTTGAGAGACAGTGTAATGGCATTCCTTTGAAGTTCTGTCATGTTGAGTATGGACGTGTCAGTTTCTTCTCCTTTAACAGGGTGGAGCTCCCTGTCCTTCCTTGACATTCCTGTTATGCTGGAGTTACACGTAAGTGTAGGATGGGCATATATTCATTGGCAAACCATTGTTTGAGTTCCTAGATTCGGTGACTTTGCTGTATGTCATAACATTCTAAATTTTAAATACATTATGATAATGTTTGAGAAATGAAAATGAGATTTTTAGTGCATGCGACTTTGATTTTTTTGTTTTCATTTATGCAAAAAAATTGATAAATTAGAATGCATATATTACTTCTTTGAAATAATTACTAAATCAGCTTAAAATCCCTTTTCTGTTTTATTCTTCTGAATGTACAGTTTAGATGTTGATTACTTTCATTTTTGGTGTTATTTGTTTGTCTGAAACGTAAAAAAATGGAGACAATTATAATCATAATAGCTGTGCCCAAAGCCATCGGATTTTATGATTGGCAATTTCTGTTGAATTTGGTTAATATTTTGTTCGTGTTTTTTATTATGAGTAGCAGGTAAGTTTCAAACTAATATGAGACCTTCAGTTCTGAAAAAAGGATCAATTGTTAGATATTGTTGGTGAGCTTTCTTTAATGGCCTTTGTAGTTTTTCTCAGATCTCTTTGAGTCATATTCAAAGGCAACTCATCTGAATTTTGTTTTTCAGTTGTCTTTGTCATTTTTTATGGGTGTAGATGACTCTAGTATCGAGGTTTAATATTGGCTAAATGACTTTATTTATTGGGACATTTTAGTTTTAGTAGGAATAACTCAAAATAATTACACTTCTATGAAGGTGTAAGTTGCAAGTGACAGTGCTATGTCTCATGCCACAACTTTCACTTGCATTGGACATAAACCCACTGTTAAAACCTATCACCTACTTCACCCACTAAACCTAACCCACTACACCACTACCACCTCACCTACTCCACTAAACCTAACCCATTACACCCACTTATACTTTTATAAAAGTTACAATTATTTTGAGCTGTTCTTGCTGAAACATAATTTCCCCTTAAAAAAGGGGGAGACGAGAGTTCTTTATTGGACAAACAAGAGCTGATATGTGAAAAATGTAAGTCTACCACACAAACAATAATTAGGAATTTTCGGGGATAGGTCCCTCTTAATAAGATTTCAATGCATTAAGGATGCGACCGCAGATTTTTCTGTGTGAACTACAGCGCATGCGCTGCAAACGTCACAATTACAAAAATACCCTTATTTGTTAAATTTAATTTAGATATTTGTTTTTGAAAAAAATACTATTTTTTGAATTCTCTTGTTGAGATCTATCAAATAAGATTCATGTTGTATATAAAATTTAAAAAATGAGAGGGTAAATTACGCTGACCTCCCCTAACGTTTGAAGAAAATACAGTAAGTACTACAGTTTTGGCATAATTGCACATACCTCTCTTTTAGTAAAACTAAAGGGACCGAAATAAATGCAGATCAATGTAATTTATCCAAAAAAAAAATAAAAATATTATATTCTATTTGTTGTTTTTAGACAATAGAATTTCACTATCCAAAACTTGTGACGTGATCCATGAGCAAATCATAGTCAATTAAATTGTATAATTTATGTTGGGATCAATTTTCTTGATGCAGACGTTCAACATTTTTATAATCCACTTCTCTTGTTTGAAAACAATCATGATACGTCCAACTGATTGCTATTTTTTTTAATAGTTAATTTGCAGTCTTCCCAATGGAAACTTGTTTTAAAGTGCGGTAGTTGGAGACAAATCTGCATTGTTAACAGCCCCAAAGACTATTTTGCAATGCACTCCTAAGAAACCAGAGCATTTAGCAAAAGGCCAAATACCTAGAGCATAGAAATCCTCCCCAGTGCTAATTAATGATAACATTATATTTTTTTTATGTACCAATTGTTTTTTTGGTACTGTAGATGTTTGTACAAGTAACTTCTTTTTTTTTTTTTTTTTGCTAATTTAAGTAGCTATTTTTAATCATTCATATATATATATATATATATATTATGGGTACTTTAAATGATTTTTTCTGTAGTACATCGATTTGGTATTTGGTAAATTTTTTTTTGGAGGAATTTGTATTATGTTGTATTTGCCCTAATTTCAAAAGGAAGTGATGAGTTAGTTTATTCAAACCTCAAAGAATATATCTGGCAAGCACACATTGATGTTTAGAAATGAGTAATAAAATACAAACATACAAAATTTCCATACAGCATGATGGACCTTTCACTGTAGGAGTTGCACAGCAAAGCTGAACAAAAATGATACACAAACAAAAATTTTATACAAAAAATTCAGTTGAAATTATGTGGCACTAGTATTTTGAAATTATAAATCATAATAGTGAGTGTTTTGGTTGGAAATGAAAAGATCACAAAATATCACATTCTGTATGAAAATTCTGTACAAAAATTGTATCTGAGTTACTCCAACCTGAAAATACTAAACATTACAAAAAAAAAACAATCTGAGATAAAGTATTTAGAAAAACCCTTGCTCTCAGCCATATGATTGTGTCTTGAGATTTATGTATTTTGAGATTCCCACCATATTGTACATGGTAAAAAGGATATTAGATACAGAGGATCTTCGCTTTTTGGAAAAATTGGGTTGAACTGAATGTATGATTTCATATGTGCTTAACCATTGCTTGAACCCTTGATGTGGAGATTGACGACATAAGGTTATAACTGCCTAGGTACTCAAAGCTGTAGTAATGGTAGTGAATTTCACCATGCAGACAATGCAGATTACAGAATGAGATGTTCACTCAATGCACAAAGACCAAGAAAGAACACAAGAATGAGAATTGGAGGACTTGACTATGCTTCAATCGTATATACTAATATGATTTCATTGATCAAATATTTATTTCCAGATTGTTGTGATTTTGAAGGTGGTCTGGGCCACAATCCAATGTAAGGGAAGTCAATTCATCCCACGTCAATAAACGAACCTATCTAGTTATGTGAGCAATGAATGAACCCAATTCCATCCAAGAAACACCGCCATCCTCCGCTGCCTTCCAGGCGGCAACAGCCAGTTCCTCAGCCCTCTTTCTCATCTCCTCCCCCTTCTATTGATGCCATTAGCTTCTTGACAGCTTCTGCAATGGTTGATGAAGCCACCACCCCCTCTTGAAGTGCTGCCCATTGGTTAACAACCACACCAGCCTTCAATATGTCTGTCACGAGAAATGCATTCTTGGGTTGATCCGAGTGCATCGGCCAGGCTGCTATCGGCACTCCCATGGTGATGCTCTCCAGCCATGAATTTCATCCACAGCGACTCATGAACCCGCCTGTTGATGGGTGTGCCAAAATTTCAAGTTGAGGTGCCCAATCTCTCACCACCAGTCCAATTCCTTTCACTCTCTCTTCATAAGCTTCTGGCAGTGCTTCAGCTCTCTTGACATCGCCTGTGAAAGTATCTCCTTTATCGGCATCTCTCAACACCCAGATGGACTTTTGTCTGCTCTGTTCCAAGCCCATTGCGAGCTCTTTGATCTGTGCATCTGTCATTGAAGTTGTTGTTCCAAAAGAAACATATAACACAGATTTTGGGGCTTGTTTGGCAAGCCAATCCAAACATTTGTGTTGGCAATTTGGCTTTGCATTGTCATTTCTGCGTTCAATGGCCCGACTACCCATAGCTGCTTGTCTTCACCAACTTATACCTTTTTCATTAAATCAATACAACTACCTTTGATTGAGCTGCACGAGTTCATGATACTTCCCGATGTAAATTTCAGAAAACCAGTTTGAAGGGTTATGAAATTTAGGACCTCTAAAGTGTAACATCCTTCGACAGATGGTAATCCTTGTGGTTCTTCTACCTGGAAAGGTTTTCCCATCATTTGCCATCCATCGAAGAAAGAAGTGAACGCACAACTGGCGTTAAAATAGTAGGATTCAGAATTTGGTGTGGTAGGGGTGTCCTGAACCACATAAGCCATGAGAGCATCGTGGTCAATGATAACTCTTCTAGCTGTGGAAGAGATTTCTTGTAAGAGTTCAGTCATGGGATTGTGGAGATGCACAGAGGCTTCGAAGGATGGTAGGAGATGTGATGGGAATTTACTCGAGGCATTGGGGTTGGGCGGAGGAGAGAGGAAAGGTGGGGTAGGGAATTCATGGAAATGGATTTGGGCAAAGGAAAGGTGGTTTGTGGCATTGAAGCAGAGTTTGGCTTGGTGGATGTGGGTGGCGGATCAGGCGTAGTGGACGGGGATGTTGTAGGATGAGATTAGGCAGGAGAGTTGGAGGAGCTGGTTGAGATGGCTCTGGGCGGGAAAAGGCACCATAATTACAACCACTTGAGCTTGTTTGGAACTGCTCAGGTCATGGGTTTGATGCTGGTTGTCGACATCCATGGATGATTATATTTTTCTGAAAAGAGTGTTCTTAATCTCTAATCTTTTTGAACTAGAACTACATGAGTAGTAGGTTTTATATAACAGGAAAAATAGACTCATTATCGTGAAGGGAATTTCCATTGAAAACTTGGAGATACAGAAATTGTCACAAAAAATGACACAACACGCTTTCTGTGGCATCATTTCTGTCTTGGTTGTTTCTATGGTAGCTTTATATACATATATATTCTGAAACTGATATTAACAATTATATAATTGCTTTTGTTTTGCATGTTGGATTTTTCATATGAGTCAAGCTATTGAGCAAGTTAAAACTAATCTGAGACCTTCAAGTTGTGAAAGGACCAATTGTTAGATACTGCCGATAAACTCTCTCTCATGGCATTTCTAATTCTTCTTAGACTTGTTTGAGTGGCCAGAACCCAAAACAAAGGCAACTCATTTGAATTACTCCATATTTTTCAAGTTTCTTTCTCGCCTTTATGGGTGCATTGCTTATTTCCACCTATGTTTTATGGAGTCTTCAAAATAAATCAAATACCCATCTTGGACACCTAACACTTGATAAGGGTGTGGGATACGTGTCCGACATTTTGTATCGAACACTTATTATATATTTTTATTTAACACTGTTGTTATCATTATATGTGTATGTTGTGTGTAATTGTTATAAAATTAGTAAAATGTCTTTTGATGTTGTATGTTATATATAAGATCATTTTATCTCACTTAATATATTAAAAATCTAAATTATGACCATTTTTTGTCGAATCCATGTACTTTTAAATTTAAAATTTGATGGGCCCAATCTCAAGATACACACTCACACTTGCACCCGACACCTATACCCGAGTCCATGTATCAAATTTTTACTATAGATGGCTGGAGCAGGAAAATAATCATGGTACTTTAATTGATTGTTACTTCTTTTAATATTAATAGTTTTCCTTCTTCCCAATGAAAACTTGTTTTAAAATCTAAGCAATGTTCTAACAACCCCCAAAGACTATTTTATAATGTACTCATAGGAAACCAGAGCATTGAGCAAAAGCTGCAAAAACCATGATCATAGAAATCCTCCCCAGAGCACCTAAATCAATGATAAAAGAATATGTTTTTATGCACGAATTATTTTTTGGTGAGCATATTTCTGTAGGTGTTTGTACAAGTAAATAGGGATTTTTGGTGATAGCTCCCTCTTAATAAGTTTTGCCGTGTGAAGGACAGTGTCTGCACTATGCACATTACAAATACAAAAATACCCTTGTTTGCTAAATTTAGTTTTCAAACTTTAAAATAGTCTTTTTGAATCATCTCGTCGAGATTTGTCAAACATTACCTGCGTTGAATATGAAATTCTATAAAATAATTGACAAAATTTCACTATTGTTTGTTTTCGGAATATGAAATTTCACTATACAAGACTTGTTATGTGATCCGTGAGCAAACTATAGTCAATTTAATTGTATAGCTTTTATTGGGATCACTTTTCTTGATGCAGTGGTTCAACATTTTTATAGTCTATAGTTAATTTGCCATTTTTATAGTCTAATTAATACCTTTTTTATCGTTAATTTGCCTTCTTCCCAATGCACACGGACAAAGAAAGAACACAAGAATGAGAATTATAGCACTTGACTATACTTCTATCATATATTACTAAAATGATTTTATTGATCAAATACTTATTTCCAGATTGTTGTGATTTGTCTGGACTTCAATCCAATGCAAGGAAAGTTGATTCATCCCACTTCAATAAATGAATCTATCTGGTTATGTGAGCAATGAATGAATCCAATTCCATGCGAGATACTCCACCTTCCTCCACTGCCTGCTGGGTGGCACCACCCAGTTCCTCCGCCCTCTTCCTCATCTCCTCCCCTTCTGTTGATGTGATTAGCCTTTTGGCAGCTTTTGCAATGGTTGATGAAGCCACCACCTCCTGGTGTGCTGCACGTTGCTTAACAACCACACCAACTTTTAATATGTCTGTTACCAGAACTGCGTTCTTGGGTTGATCCGAGTGCATCGGCCAGGCTGCTATCGGCACTCCCATGATGATGCCCTCCAGGCATGAATTCCATCCACAGTGACTCATGAACCCACCTGTTGATTGGTGTGCCAAAATTTCAAGTTGAGGTGGGTGCCCAATCTCTCACCACCAGTCCAACTTCTTTAACTCTCTCTCCATAACCTTCTGGTAGTGCTTCAGCTCTCTTGACATTGCCTGCAAAAATGTCTCCTTTATTGGCATCTCTAAACACTCAAATGAACTTTTGTCCACTCTGTTCCAGCCCCATTGCGAGCTCTTTGATCCGTTGATCTGTCATCGAAGTTGTTGTTCCAAATGAAACATATAACACAGAATATGGGGCTTGTTTGTCAAGCCAATCCAAACATCTGTGTTGCCTATTTGAGTTTTTGCTGCCATTTACTCTTCTCGAGGTCAATGGCCCAATCGCCCATAGCTGCTTGTCTTCACGAATCTGTACCTTCTTCAATAAATCAATGTAAGTATCTTCGATTGATCTGCACGAGTTCATGGTAGATCCGGATGTAAATTTCAGAAAATTAATTTGGAGGGTGATAAAATCTAGAATCTCGGAAGGGTAACAGACTTCAATAGATGGTAACCCCTGTGGTTCATCTACCTGGAATGAGTTTCCCATCATTTGCCATCCTTCAAAGAAACAAGCGAACGCACTAATGGTGGTGAAAGAATAGGATTCTGAATTTGGTGTGGTAGTGATGTCCGGGACCACATAAGCCATGAGGGCATCGTGGACAACTATAACTTTTCTAGCCGTGGAAAATTTTGTGTAAGAGTTCGGTCATGGGGTCACGGAGATGCAAAGATGCTTCGAAGGATGGTTGGAGATGTGATGGAAATTTACACAGGGTGTTGGGGTTGGGTGGAGGAGAGAGGAAAGGAGGGGTAGGGAACCCATGGAAATTGATTTGGGCAAAGGAAAGGCGGTTTGTGCCATTGAAGCGAAGTTTAGCCTGGTGGACGTGGGTGGCGGAGCAGGCGTAGTGGGCAGGGATGTTGTAGGAGGAGATTAGGCAGGAGAGCTGGAGGAGCTGGTTGAGGTGGCTTTGGCATGGAAAAGGCACCATGATTACGACCACTTGAGCTTGTTTGGTGTCATGGCTTGGCTGTTGGTCATGAACATCCATGGATGATTAAAATTTCTGAAAGAGTGGTTCTCAATCTCCTCTCTGTTTGAAATGAGTTGGTTCTTTATATACGAATTTGCAATCAGAACCGGCACAAAAATGACACAGAACACTCATAGAGGTCCATGCTTAGTGTCCTACGATGTTTCTGTGGCACGATTTCTGTGTTCATCCTCTGTATGAAACTTTTATTTTTTATTCTGATACTGTAATATCAAATCAATAATTGATTTCTATTTTTATATATTTTCTTTCGTCTCTTCCTGACTTGCCGCTGCAGCCTTTGTCATCGTTTTTACCTGTGCATTTGTTTCAGGTACATACAAAGTTGAAGATGATGTCTTATCCATGATTCATATTCAACGAAGTTCACTCTTTTCTACAGGCAGCTCATTTCTTTGTCTGAAAATAATTTCGTAAGCAGTTATGTGTGCACAGAAAAGTACATAAAAAAAAAGGGGATCGGAATCAGAGAACTTTTGAATGAGATCTCTCAGATTGGATCCAATGAGGTGTCAGAACATCACCAAAATCAAATTCAAAGGTTTGCCATTTCTTCTTTACTGCAATGTTTGATTCTTTAGTAGCTTTTCCATTTCATTTTTTTTTTTTGGGTTGTGTACTAGCAAGCAGTTAACAACGGACTAACTAAATGATATTATTATTTTGTCTTAGATCAATCATATCAAAAAATTTGTGCTTTCAATTTGCTGATTTCACACTTCTTTCACTAAAATATTAGCAAGTAGGTGTATGTCATTTGGCATCATCATTCTTTCTTTTTTTCCTTCTAGAAATTGAAAAGTGATTTGTGATGTTTAAATTGTCTCCTTATTTTGGTAGATGATGTTTTTACTTCTTTTGTTGAGGACATCTTGTCCTCTTTGTACTCTTCCTTTTTATTTTTTTTATTTTTTTATTTATAAATAAAAGTTTCTTTTGTTGCTGATCAAATTAAAAAAATAAAATAAAATTCTTCTTAGACTTGTTCGAGTGGCCAGAACCCAAAACAGAGGCAAACTCATATGAATTCTATTTTTCAGTTTTCTTTCTTGTTTTTATGGGTATATTACATATGATGCCGGTATCAAGGTGTAATTATATTGGCCAAATTACTTTATTTATATTCCTAAAGAGGGAGATTTTATTGGACACACTATCATTCAACTATACGAACTAGAACTGATATGTGAAAATTGTTAGAGCCTACCACACAATAAATAGGGATTTTTGTGATAGATCTCTCTTAATTAGTTTTTCCGTGTGAAGGATGGTGCCCGCACAACGCACATGACATTTAGAAAAATACCCTTGTTTGCTAAATTTAGTTTTCAAACTTTAAAATGTCCTTACTTTTTTGAAAAAGTAGTTTTTTTTTAAAATCATCTTGTCAACATTTATCAAACATGACCTATGGTGAATATGAAATTATATAAATAATTGACAAAATTTCACTGCTCTTTGTTTTCTGACAATAAAACTTCACTATACAAAACTCGTGACGTGATCCGTGAGTAAACTATAGTCAATTTAATTGTATAATTACGTTGGGATCAATTTTCTTGATGTAGTGGTTCGACATTTTTATAGTCTACTGCTCCTGTTAGAAAATGATCATATGATACTTCCAACTAATTGCTATTTTTTTATACTTAATTTGCCTTCTTCCCAATGAAAACTTGTTTAAAATTATGGCGTTAAGACAAATCTTCAATGTTGTAGCAACCCTAAAGACTGTTTTATAATGTACTCCTAGGAACCACAATATTGAACAAAAGCTCAGAAACCATGATAATAAAAATCCTCCCCAGAGCACCTAAATCAATGATAATAAGCATATATTTTTATGTACTAAGGCCTAGTTTGGGAAGACTAAATAAGTGCACTTTTTGACTTTTTATGAAATATGGGTTGGGTTTGGGTTGGGTTTGAAGTGATGTGTTAGAGAAGTGATGTGACTTAAATAAGATGATGTGACTTAAATAGGATAATGATTTTTTTACTTTTTGTCTTTTTTCAATCATGCCAAACTTGGCCTAATTATTTTTCTGGTAAGCATATCTCTGTAGATATTTGTACAAGTAGCTATTTTTAAATCAGTCATGCATATACTTATGGGTACATTAATTTTGTATACTACATTGATTTGGTGGTTGGTATTTTTTTGTTTTCTTTCTGAGGAACATTTATTATTTTGTATTTGCTCAGATATGAAACCCTTATTTCAAAAAGAAGTGATGAGTTAAGTTCACTCTAACTTCGAAGAATATATCTGGCAAGCACTTATCAATGTTTTGAAATATGTAGGAGCTTCACACTGGAAATTTTACCAAACGATGTGACAATAGTATTTTGAAGATTATAAGTCATAATAGTGAGTGTTTTGGTTTGAAATAAGGATCACAACACTTCGTACAAAAATTATGTTGGCATAACACCATCCTGAATAATACAATACATTAGCTTTCAGCTACACGATCGTGTCTTGAGATTTCTATATTTTGAGATTCCCACTCTGTTATACGGTTGGGAGTGCATTGGGTACTATATTAGATACAGAGGATCTTGGCTTTTTGGAACAATTGGGTTGAACGGAATATACGATCTTATAGGTGCTTTATATTTGCTTTAAATGGTAGTAAATTTTGCCATGCAGACAAAGCAGATTGCAGAATGAGTTGTTCACTCATTGTACACAGACAAAGAAAGAACACAAGAATGTGAATTATAGCACTTGACTATGCTTCTGTCATATCTAGTAATATGATTTTGTTGATCAATTACTTATTTTTAGATTGTTGTGATTCTGGAGAAGTTCTGAGCCACATACCAATGCAAGGAAATCCAATTCATCCAGCGTCAATAAACAAACCTACCTAGTTATGTGAAAAATGAATGAATCCAAATTCCATGCGAGAAATGCCACCTTTGTCCATTGCCTGCCAGGCGTCACCAACCAGTTCCTCCGCCTTTTTCCTCATCTCCTCCCCTTCTCTTGATGCTATTAACCTTTTGACAACTCTTGCCATGGCTGATGAAGCCACTATCTCCTTCTGGTTTGCCTCCCATTGCTTAGCAACCAAACCAGCCTTCAATATCTCTGTTACCAGAAATGCATTCTTGGGTTGATCTGAGTGCATCGGCCAGGCCGCTATCGGCACTCCCGGGGTGATGCTCTCCAGGCATGAATTCCATCTACAGTGACTTATGAACCAGCCTGTCGATGGGTGAGCTAAAATTTCAACTTGAGGTGCCCAATCTCTCACCAGTAGTCCAATTCCTTTCACTTTTTCTTCATAACATTGTGGCAGTGCTTTAGCTCTCTTGACATTGCCTGCGAAATCTCCTTATCGGCATCTCTCAACACCCAGATGAACTTTTGTCTGCTTTGTTATTGCAAGCTCTTTAATCTGCTGATCTGTCATTGAAGTTGTTCCAAATGAAGCACATTACATGGATTTTGGGGCTAGTTTATCAAGCCAAATCAAACATTTGTGTTGGCTATTTGAGTTGTTGGCTGTTTGAGTTGTTTTCTCCAATATGTTCCCTTTTCATTAAATCAATGCAAGTACCTTTGATTGTTCTGCATGAGTTCATGCCAGTTCCAGATGTAAATTTCTGAAAATCAGATTGGAGGGTTATGAAATTTAGGATCTCAGAAGTAAGTGAACGTGCAACCGGGGTTGAAAGTGTAGGTTTCAGCATTTGGTACTCTTGAACCACATAAGCCATGAGAAAGTCATGGACGACGATAACTCTTCTTGCCGTGGGGGAGATTTTGTGCAAGAGTTCAGCCATGGCGTCACGGAGATGCAAAGTGGTTTCGAAGGATGGTAGGATATGTGATGCAAATTGACTTGAGGCATTGGGTGGAGGAGAGAGGAAAGGAGGGGTAGGGAACTCATGGCAATGGATTTGGGCAAAAGCATGACTGTTTATGCCATTGAAGCAGAGTTTGGCCTGGTGGATGTGGGTGGGGGAGCAAGCATAGTGGACCGGGATGTTGTAGGAGGAGCTGGTTGAGGTGGCTCTGCAATGGAAAAGACGCCATGATTACTACCACTTGAGCTTGTTTGGAGCTGCTCATTAGGTCATGGCTTGGATGTTGGTAATGAATATCCATGGATTAAATTTTTTGAAAGTGTTCCCCCAGTCACCAATCTGTTGGGTCTCGGAGTAGGTTTTTTATAGCATGAAAAATAGAATCATAATCTTTCTAGGATTTGTGATAGGAACACAAAAACTGTCACAAAAAGGACACAAACTCAGGTATGCGGGTGTGCCGTTTCTATTGCACAAATGCTGTATCCAATATTTCTATGGAATCTTCTTTTTATCGTTATTTTTATTCAGATATTGAATAATGACAATTCAATATTTGCTTTTATTTTTATGTTTTTCTGTCTCTTTCCCTCCTGCTGTGTTGGTTGTTTTCATTTTTGCATGTGTATTTGTTTACTTATATATTATTGGTAGAATATGAGTATGCCAGTTATAAAATTTTATCTTATATATCAACTATATCAAAGATTTTGTGCTCTTTTTTTTTAAGTTTCACACTATATCATCTTTAAAAAATATAAAAAATAATAGAGTACGGCCTTAGTCTGGTGGTGGGAGATACTCTCAGCGTCATTCATTGTCATTTATTGGCTTTGACATGGATAGGCCCACAAGGCACACGGCCCACGGTAAACCACCCCGAACCCAGTGCTTGGGGCCAATGGCACAACCCGGTTGCTTGGATGACAAGGCCCAACGTCAGCAACAAAGATGGAGGGAAATAATCTTAATGATTAAATACATTTTGCCTAGCCTTGAAGGCTAGCTACATGTAGCTAGTGAATGCGAGCTGAGCCAAAATGCCTAAGCATATGCCTAGTGCATTGGAGTTGAAAAAAGTGAGTCACATTAGGCATTTTGACTAACAAGCATCATATGCCTAGTGGGTTGGAGATGCTCTTAGTCTGGTGGTGGGAGATACTCTCAGCCTCATTCATTGTCATTTATTGGCTTCATTGATCAATAGCATGATTTTAAATAGCGGTGTTGGGATACGTTTTAGTATCAGCGAGATGGTCATTTATGAATAATATTAGATATGATATCGAAAGTTCAAAATTTCAATACGTATCAATTGATATTTAAAATCTTGATCAATCGAACGCCTTTGGTGCATTAGCAGAACATGCTGTGCCGTCAAGTTTGTGAGAGTTGAAGAGTTCTCAGTTGATGAAAAAATAGACCGTTATAGAATTATAGACTATGGTTAGTGGAGTTTTTAGAACTTATTTTTTGAAAGATGATAGAAATTAAATTGATAAAAATTAATATTAAAAAAGATATATTTAAAATTAAAAAATAAATTATTTTGCCCACAAAAGTAAAAAACATATGAAAATAATGATTGCTTTTTTTTTTTATTATTTATTTTTATTTTATATTTTATTATAGGGAGAGAGAGTGAAAATGCTTGAATAGTAGGAATATCATGGAGATCCTATGATCATCTCCAGCTGATGTATCGGTGTTGCTGTTGGTTACTGAAAGCAAGCAATCAAGTGACTCTAGAGAGACCCATCCACCCGGGAATCGATACATCATCAGGCTTCATTGATCAATAGCATGATTTTAAATAGCGGTGTTGGGATACGTTTTAGTATCAGCGAGATGGTCATTTATGAATAATATTAGATATAATATCGAAAGTTCAAAATTTTAATACGTATCAATTGATATTTAAAATCTCGATCAATCGAACGCCTTTGGTGCATTAGCAGAACATGCTGTGCCGTCAAGTTTGTGAGAGTTGAAGAGGAGTTCTCAGTTGATGAAAAAATAGACCGTTATAGAATTATAGACTATGGTTAGTGGAGTTTTTAGAACTTATTTTTTGAAAGATGATAGAAATTAAATTGATAAAAATTAATATTAAAAAAGATATATTTAAAATTAAAAAATAAATTATTTTGCCCACAAAAGTAAAAACCATATGAAAATAATGATTGCTTTTTTTTTTTATTATTTATTTTTATTTTATATTTTATATTTTCAGTAAGCTAATTTTCAATAATTTTTCATGAGTCAAGCTAGTGTGTAAGTTTAAAACTAATATGAGACCTTCAAGTTGTGAATTGTTAGATACTGTTGGTGAACTTTCTTCCATGGCCTTTCTAATTGACGTGGCATTGTGTTGTCTTCTCTATATGTTGGGTTATTTGGTTGGAATGGAATGTAAGGGTCTTTGAGAATAAGTTTGATGACGGGATGTAGGTTAAAAATTAATTTTTAATTTTTTTTTGAAAAAATGTGTTAAGAAGTAGAGAAGTAATGCGATATAAAAAAATCGAAAATCAAAAAATTGACTTTTAACAAACTTGCCAAAATAGGCCTAAATTCAATGATATGTGTGTCTGGGATAGAGTATGTCATTTGGCATCATTTGTTTGTTTGTTTTTTCTTCTAGAAATTGAATGCATATTTGTGATGTTTAAATTGTCTCTTTGTTTTGGTAGATATTTTTTCTTTTTTTGTTGAACACATCTTGTCCTCTATTTCTACTCTTTTTTTTAATATATGTTTTTTTGGCCAATCAAATTAAAATATATATAATTTTTTTTCCTAGACTTGTTTGAGTGGCCAGAACCCAAAACAAAGACAAACTCTTCTGAATTCTATTTTTCTATTTTCTTTCTTGCTTTTATGGGTATATTGCATATGACATTGGTGTCAAGGTATAATTATATTGGCCAAATAACTTTATCAAACTAAAATTCAACCATACTTGCAAGAATTGACATGTGAAAAATGTTAAGAGCCTACCGCACATAATAAATAGGGATTTTTGGTGATAGGTCTCTCTTAATAAGTTTTTCAGGTAAATTTGATTTAGATATTTGTTTATGAAAAAAATACTATTTTTTGAATCCTCTTGTTGATATTTATCAAATAAGACTTATGTCGAATATAAAATTTAAAACATGAGAGGGTAAAGTACACTGACCTCCCTAAGGTTTGAAGAAAATACAGTAAACATTACAATTTTGGCATAATTACACATACCTCCCTTTTAGTAAAGCTAAAAGGACCGAAACAAATACAAATCAATGTAATTTATCCAAAAAAATAATAATATTATATTCTATTTGTTGTTTTTAGACAATGGAATTTCACTATCCAAAACTCGTGATGTGGTCCATGGGCAAATCATAGTCAATTAAGCCTTGGTTTGGTTTTCTTTGCGGGCTATATAATCACAAAAGACAAAAAAAGTTACAAAATCACAAAAAGACAAAAAAGTTATAAAAGTATCAAACTATCCAATATATAAACAAAAAGTCAAAAAAGCATCATTGTATATTAAAGGTAATTTTGTCATTCTAAAGTTAAAAAGGTCAAACAAGAATATCAAACGATTAAAAAAGTTAAAAAATTAACTAAAAAAGTCAAAATTAAACGACACAAATTATATAATTTATGCTGGGTTCAATTTTCTTGATGCAGACGTTCAACATTTTTTTAGTCCACTTATCTTGTTTGAAAATGATCATGATACGTCCAACTGATTGCTACCTTTTTTTTTTTTTTTTTTTAATAGTTAATTTGCAGTCTTCCCAATGGAAACTTGTTTTAAAGTTATGTTGTTGGAGACAAATCTGCATTGTTAACAACCCCAAAGACTATTTTGTAATGTACTCCTAAGAAACCAGAGCATTTAGCAAAAGGCCAAATGCCTAGAGCACAGAAATCCTCCCCAGTGCTAATACCTAGAGCAAAAGGCCACATACTTTATTTTTATTTATTTTTATTTTTTATGTAACAATTGTTTTTTGGTACTGTAGATGTTTGTACAACTGGCTTCTGTTTTTTTTTTTTTTTGGGCTAATTCAAGTAGCTATTTTTAATCATTCATACATATATTTATGGATACTTGAAGGCCATGTTTGTTTGGGCGGACTGGATTAGCAGTCCCATGACTAATAGTCCTAGGACTACGAATCCGTTGGATTATGTATCCTATCTTAATTAATAGTCAAGTTTAAAATAATTAATTCATACTTCAATTGTTTAATCAAACATCGGATTAATAATTTTATTAGACTATTAGTCCAATCCCAAACTCATGTCCACCCAAACAAACATGACCTAAATGATTTTCTCTATACTACATGGATTTGGTATTTGGTAAAATAATGATTGCTTTTTACTTCTTTCAGGAAGCTAATTTTTAATAATTTTTCATGAGTCGAGCTATTGAGTAAGTTTAGATCTAATATGAGATCTTCAAGTTGTGAATTGTTAGATACTGTTGGTGAACTCTCTTTCATGGCCTTTCTAATTGACGTGGCATTGTGTTGTCCTTTCTATATGTTGGGTTATTTGGTTGGAATGGAATGCAAGGACTTCGAGAATAGTTTGATGATATGGTGTGTGTGAGTGTGGTATAGAGTTTCATTTGGCATCATTTATTTGTTTTTTTGTTTGTTTGTTTTTTCTTCTAGAAATTGAATATTTATTTGTGATGTTTAAATTGTCTTGTTGTTTTGGTAGATATTTTTTCTTTTGTTGAGCACATGGTGTTTGGGAATTTGATTTTTGGTTTTTTTTTTTTTTTTTTTTGTTTTTGTTTTTTTTCACTACAAGACAAATGTTTTACAAAATTAAAAAAATCAAATCCAAACAAAATATCACATCAAATTCTATAATCATTTCACTTTTTTTCTCACAAACATCACATCCAACCACAAAAAAATCCAACTATTTTCCCAAACACAATTTTTTTTCTCCAATAATATCTTACAACTAAAAAAACCTACAAAAAAACCTACTTTCCAAACACCCACCTTGTCCTCTCTTTCTACTCTTTTTTTTTAATATATATATATATATATATTTTGCCAATGAAATTAAAATATATATATAATTTTTTTTTTCTTAGACTTGTTTGAGTGGCCAAAACCCAAAACAAAGGCAAACTCATCTGAATTTTATTTTTTTTATTTTCTTTCTTGCTTTTATGGGTATATTGCATATGACACTGGTATCAAGGTATAATTATATTGGCCAAGAAACTTTATCAAACTAAAATTCAACTATACTTACAAGAACTCATATGTGAAAAATGTTAGAGCCTACCTCACATGATAAATAGGGATTTTTGGCGATAGGTCTTTCTTAATAAGTTTTTCTGTGTGAATGACCGTGCCTACACTACACACATAACAATTACAAAAATACCATTGTTTGCTAAATTTAGTTTTTAAACTTTAAAATGTCATTACTTTTTTGAATCATCTTGTTGAAATTTATCAAACATGACCTAGAATGTGAAATTCTATAAAATAATTGACAAAATTTCATTGTTGTTTGTTTTCGGAATATAAAATTTCACTACACAAAACTCGTTATGTG